AAAAAAAAAAAAAAAAAAAAAGTCAGCTGACTATGGGGTCATCTCATCTCCGTGTCAGGCACCTTCTCTCCAGAGTGCATCCTGGGAGAAACAAGTCATTGGCCACAATGTTCCTCTCTTGCAGCTTCTGGTTACCATCCCAAGGATTATTGCTATCAGTATTTTGCATTTACATCAGGACAGTATGTCTTCCAGTCTCCTTTTTTATTTTGGAAGATCTTAACAAGAATATTCGTCAAGAAGGTAAAGGTGCCTGCCACCAAACCTGACGAACTGAACTTAATCCTGGGGACCCACAGGGTGGAGAGACCGACTCCTCCAAGTTGCCTTCAGTCCTTCACGGACACACACACACATCCCATAAATATTTTAATTAAAAAAGTTTTTTTTTTTTTCCTGCATTTTACTGAGGCTCACAGAAGATGCAGAGTTGAGCCAGTCCTTCGTCCTACTTAGGTTGCAGACAGTGATAAAGGTGACTGATGCCAGTCACTCCATCCTGCTTGGAAGCTGCCTCCTAGCAAAGCTGAACATGACAAGTGACAAGTCTTGCTTGCTCTGACGGTGTCCTCTGGGTCTCCCTGGCTCCAGTTCCTCGCTGGAGGGGCTTTCCTGATAGGAGTCCAGTTAAGCGGCCTCCTTGTCTTCACATACCAAATCCTCCGAACTCTTCACTGCTCCCCTGACCACCCGAAAGGGGGCTCCGTGACCAGGTACCACCACATCAGCCACACCCAGGATCCTCTCCCGGCTCCGCTGCTGAGCTACTGGGTCTTCGCTCAGGGCCTGCCAGGAGTCCTCGTCCCCAAGGCGCTCGAACACATCACCAGCCACCACCACGGTGCCCAGGCTGGTGCCCTCCACTACGACACTCACGTCCCGCTGTCCTCCGTGGCCCGGCGTGGCCCACACCTGCAGTCCGGAGCCCAGTTTCAAGGGCTGCAATTCACACAGCCCATGAGGCAGATAGAGGCCCCCGGGAAGGCAGAAGTCATGGGACACTAACAGAGCCGCCCGGGAAAACAGCCCTAGGTTCCCAATGTGATCCGAGTGCCCGTGGGTCCCCACCACCAGAGTCACGTCTCCGGGGGCCACGCCCTGCCTGGCCAGGGCTTCCAGCAGCGCCTCCCGAGCCCAGGGGCCCCCGGTGTCCACGAGGATGGGGCCACGCACCGCCTCCTCCAGGGCAGTCTTCGCGCCGCCGTCTGCGGACGGGGACCTTCGGCGGCTGGAATCCGAGGCCCAGGCCCGGGGCAGGACGAGGGTCACAGTGCCATCAGCACGCACCGCGTCGCCGGTCCCCTGCGGCTCCGCGTAGCCGCGCAGCAGAACCACCACCGAGTAGGAGTCGCTGGACGCCAGCAGAGGGGTCTCACCGTGCAGCGGCTCGGTCCGCACTGGACCGCTCATGGCAGGGGAAGGGACTATACCCAGCCACGGACGGCTGCCCAGCACCTCCGAATTCCCACCTACCGCAAGCCCGGCCACTCTTTCCGTCTCAACTCGTTGCCACCCCCCAGCTCTTAAAGTGGTATCGCCCTCCCGCTCCCCACCCCCGCCTAAGATGGTGTCGCCCTTCCGGCCTTTCCACGTGTCCTCGCCCGGGTCCCTTTAGGCTTGTAGACGGTAGGTCTTCACCCATCAACATTTTAAGGATATCTTTTCCCCCTCCGTTCTAGCTCTAGCCGTTGACGAGTTTGAAACTAAACTATCGCGGTCCTTAAGTCTTTTTTTACTGGGGGGGGGGGGGGGGTTCGGGAAAACGGGAGGAATTTTGCTCTTCCCAGGCTCCTGTACAAAAACTATGGTGGGTGAAGTGCTAGCCACGTCGTTTAATTCTAAGCTCTGTACAGTTTACACCACGTGTTGCACAAACGAGGTAGGTTTTTTTTTTTCTGTTTTCTGATACAGGATCTCATGTAGCCCAGGATGGTCCCGAACTTATTACATAGCCGAGGAAGACCTAAACTCTTGATCCTTTTGCCTTTACCTCCCAAGTGCTAGGATGATGACGCATAGCGCCGCTCTGGTACAGTTGTTTCCCCAACCCCTGCCAGTATCCTTGGGCGCAAAATTATAAACACCACTAGCTGTTAATAGAAGGCAGGCCACTGTTTGGGTGCTCCCTCAGTGATAATGTGAGCATGTTTGAAATGGGGCTCAGCCGATTCATATAGAAAAGGTTTAATAGCGATATAGAACATATGGCACCGGTGAAGTATGAAATAGGCCACATGTCTACACCACCTAACCTATCAGCATTGCTTCAGTCTTTGCCAGTGTCGTGTTCTTCTTTACAGATTGACAGCATACAGCCTCATGTTTGCAGGCTGTGTATGTAGGTTGGTGAGTGTCCCTTTTTGGCATAGTCTGAGACAGGGTCTCGTGTCGCTCTGGTTGGTCTTGAACTGCCACGTAGCTGGGTGATGGCTTTGAACGTCTGATATTCTTGCCGCCATTTCTCAAGTGCTGAGATTATAGGAGTTTGCCACTGCATCAGGTTTTATGTGGTCCAACTCACATCATTGTCCATACTAGGCAGACTTTCTACCAACTGAGCTACATCTGTAGCCCTCCTCTGGCCCCTTGAAAGGGTCTAAAATAGACCCTTTAAAAAGCAAAGAGACGTTCCCACAGCTCATACCATGACTGACCAATCGGTGCAGTAAAGGATAGAGAAAAGCTTCAACACTGTTACCACACACACTTGGTCAATTAAGTGGCTGCATGTGACTCATCACTGAAGGCAAAACTTGCCCCAGCTTCTCTCCACCTTTTTCTCCTCTCATGTTGCCATTCTGGATCCCCAGGACCATGCCTGAGATTATACGAAAAGGACAGTTACAAGCCTTGGGATGGGGAAGGGAGAGAGTTTAGAAAACTCCCCATGACCCACCCTGGGGGTTCAAAGATCCTCTGGGTCATGCTTGGGATTGCCTGAAGTCTTGGTTATCTTCTCTTCCTCCTCCTCCCCCTCTTCCTCCTCCTCCTCTGCCTTCTCATGCCCATCACTGATCTTCTCCTCTCCAGTCCAGGTTTCCTGTAGACAAGCTAGGTGGAATGGGAGAAAACAATTGCAGTATTAATGCTGGGGATGGGGGAGCCTAGAGAGGAGAGGCCCAACCTCTACACTTACCAGTTTCAGAGGCTGGAAGCACATGACCTTCACAGAGAAAATGCTGCAGGGGCTGCTCCTGGTGGTGGAAGTACCAGTCGCCCACGACATCTTCAAATTTCTCCAGCATTGTCTCACACTGGTGAAGAAGAGCAGGAAGAGGATCCGCTCAGATGGGCCTTGGAAGACCTTGCTTTTCACTCCCTATCTTCTCCATTCACTGCCTTTTGAGAGGCAGGCAGCAGTCAGATGGTTACACGTGGAGTACTAGATGTGTGATTCTCTTCCTTCAACATTATCTATTACTATCTGATACCCAGTATATCTACTCTGCTAGGTGGCAAATGCCTGTAATCCCAGTTGGGAGGTAGAGGCAGAAGGGTCATATATTCAAGCTCGTTCTCAACTACATAGTGAGTTACAGACCAGCCTGGACTATGTGTAATCCTGTCTCAAAAACTCAGTATGTCTCAGATTCTAGCCTGAAAAGTGGGGAACTGGTAATCACACCTGTGATGAGAGTATAACAAGGCAGTAGGATGTGGCCCAGAACCCAGGACATAGTAGGTGCCCAGTGGTAGTAATATTGCTATGCTGTTGAGCCTGCCTTAATAAATGGCACAGTCCTCACTCTCCGTCTTCTCCCTGTTCAGAGGTAGACATTCCTGACATCGAATTCTAGGATTTAGCTCTTCTCACCTCCCGGGACAGAGTGGTATCCCATCCTACCTGCTTCTTGAGGAATGTGACCTCCACGCTGGGCTCATCCCATAGCTCCAAAGGGATCCCCAGGTCCACTTTCACTCCCTTCTGTACTAAGCCTTTCAGCGTCGCCATGGTCTGACTCTGACCCTGAGGGATGGAAAATTCGGTATTAGTCCAGTCCACCACCTTACCTCTTCTTTTCCCTTTTCACCACACCAGCTTTATCAACTGCTGGAGACTCGTGGTGTGTTCTGTGAGAGAGTCTGGCTGTAATAGGGGGACAGACTGGCAATTCCCCAGAATCCATATTTAAAATATAGAGAAAGACATGGTGGTATAAGCTTACAATCACAGCACTGAGCAACAACAGACAGGTAGATTCTTGGCGTTCTCTGGCTAGCCAGCTTAGTTTGCTTGGAAAGTCAGTAAGCCAGTGAGACCCTGTCTCAAAAACCAAGGCAGGAGCTGGGTGTGTGTGGTGGCACATGCTTTTAATCCCAGGACTTGGGAGGCAGAGACAGGTAGATTTCTGAGTTCGAGGCCAACCTGGGCTACAGAGTGAGTTCCAGGACAGCCAGGACTGTTTCACAGAGAAACCCTGTCTCAAGAAACAAGAAACAAAACAAAACAAAACAAAAACAAAACAAAGTAGATATGGCAAGATTTCTCAGTGGGTAAAGGTGCTTCCCACCAAGCCTCATGACCTGAGTTCAATCCAGAGAGAACCAACTCATACAAGTTGTCCTCTGACCTCAGTAGTATGTTGTGACACAAGCTCACACATGAAATAATTATGGAAAAATGAAATAAGGTGGATGGCTCCTGAGGAAAAACACCCAGAGTTGTTCTCTGGCCTCTCTACATGCACACACGCACATACATGAACATACAGGGGAACATGCAAAGCTTTAGGGGAAAAAAGAAAGACAAATCAGCAAGGCCCTTCCTAAGAAATGCCTGACCTTGGCATATCTCAATGAGCCCTTGCGCTCAGCGTGAACACTGTAATCCAGGATCCGCTCACATAAATTCTCCAAAGCCTCTTCCAATCTTGTCTCACTGTGGGAACAAGGGAGATAAGACTGATGTTTCAGGAACCCGGCAGCTCCTCTGGGGTTGGTTAGAAGGTGGATAAGCACAGACTCACGAAAGGCTGTAAGGCACGTGTCTCTTCCTCTGGCCCGTGTCCAGCACCTGCCCCAGCTCCAGCACTTCTCGGGATCGGCCTGTGCGACTCAGCTCTTCCTGTAGCTCCATGCTCAGCAGCTTACACACTGGTAATAAGGAGATGCCCAAGGGGATGAAGACAAGTGATGACTCCCAAGTCGTTCTGCCCATGATCCAAGGCAGCAGAGCATATAAGCATACGCTCTGGAGCCAGAATGGCCGGAGGAGGAGACCGACTCAATCAGTAGCTTTGTGACACTTGTGTATCTCAACTTCTTCACCTCAAAACGTGGATCGACTGTGTCCCTTGTAGAGGAGCGATGGTTTAAGTCCATCAATACATGGGAAACCCCCGAGCCGCGTCTGGCATGTAGTGAGCACTGTGTAAGTACTTGCTCTCACTCTGACATTACTCACTGAGCTACTTTCCTATGTGTACGAGAGTACAGACAGCATAAAAACCCATCATGATGCGTCCATGAAACACTGCCGGAATAGTTTGGGACTGATACATACACGATGATACAGTGACAGTGATCCAGGGTTACAATCAAGAAACCCGTTTCCAGGGCTGATAAGATGGTTCGGCAGGTAAAGGAACCCACTGCCAAACCTGGAGGACCCACATGGTGGAAGGAGAGAACAGACTCCTCCATGTTATCCTCTGACCTCGCACACATACACAAAATAATTTTTTTTAAAACAGAGATATAATCTCACCAGGAAATGTAAAATTCATCCAAAAGTCACCGGCTGTATTGTAATTTCAATAAGGATGAACATGTCTTTTCCACCATTGTCTTTCCCAGCACCTGACCTGGCACACGGTGGGCTGGGCTCTCAAAAGAAAAGTCTCCTATAGAAGTAACAAACTACAGCCCGGGCACACGACTTTAATCCCAGCACTTGGGAGGCAGAGGCAGGCGGATCTATGTGAGTTCAAGGCCAGCCTGATCTACAGAGAGTTCCAAGGTAGCCAGGGCTACACAGGGAAGCCCGGTTGTGAAAAACAAAACGAACAAAAAACAAAACAAAACAAAACAAACAACAACAAAAAAACAAGGGACCAGATGCAAAAAGAAGTGAAAGATTAGACTCAAGTAATGAGTAACAATGATAATAAAATACAGTTGGGTGTAAGGTGAAGAGAGAAAGAATCCAAAGGAAAAGTAAATGTCAGGGAGGCAACAAACCAGGGAACCACAGGATATTCAGTAACCTGGCTCCCTCCCGGTTGGGGTGGGGGGGGCATTCAGTCATGCAGCCAGAGACCACGCTGCTTGCTGTAAAATCCCTACAGTACACCCCAACTGCAAAGCCTCACTCTGATGAGCAACTAACTTCTAAGTGGTGTGATGTCTCCCATGTTTTGTTCATCAGCTTCAGCTGCTGACTTACTCACCTTTAAACCCCTGGAGGGTGTCATAAGGGTTGTAATTTTCGAGCGTCTATGCCAGGGCGGGGCGCAGGATGTCTAGAAGGTATGAACCTTACACCCCACCCATGCAAGGCTGTCAGATTTAGGTCTGGTGGCTAACAGGGCGGGAAACGCAGTGAGGAAGATGCTCCGTAGACCCCGCGTTACAAGTCCTTAAAACTACAATTCCCACAATCCATTGGGGCCCGAGCCTACAAGAAAAACCTGGCTCCTTCTGGATGCTGCCTGGGAAATGTAGTGTCACCCTAACTCCGATTTCTCTCCCTTGTTCCCATTCAAGAGTTACCAAGCACCGGGCGGTGGTGGCGCACGCCTTTAATCCCAGCACTAGGGAGGCAGAGCCAGGTGGATCTCTGTGAGTTCGAGGCCAGCATGGGCTACAGAGTGAGTTCCAGGAAAGGCGCAAAGCTACACAGAGAAACCCTGTCTCGAAAAACCAAAAAAAAAAAAGCTCCAAAGAACTTTCAAGATGGTCGAGTGACCCATCTATGTTAGTCCATTTGAGCGAGCCTAGAGCTCTAGAGCTAGAGAGGCAGGATGCGAGCCTAGAGCTAGAGCTAGAGAGGCAGGAGGTGGGATGGACAGATGCAAGTAAGAACAGCTCCTTTTCTATACCTTCGCATCTGCTGGGCAAACGTTCTGTGTCATCTTCCTCTTCTTTCGTCGTCCATGCCCAAGCACTGTACGCTGCCAGGATGAAAAGCAGTATTTCCAACCGCACCGGTCCCATGACAAAACGCAGTCCACACATACACACAACCACCGTTCCCCTTCAGACTAACTTCTAGAAGGCAGCGGGCCCTTTAAATTTAGACGCAGCGGGCCACAAGCTTGAAAAAAAAAAAAAATTCCCTCGTAGGACGGTCAGCGCATGCTCAGAGCTAGCCCGAAAGTGGGTGGAGCGTCATGGCTCTGAGCTTCCCCGCCTCAGTTTTGTGGCGCCTCCTGAAGGTCCTGGCAGCTGGGTAGTGAAGAAACAGATTGAAGTAATTAGAATATAGTAATATTATCCTTACACATCTACGTAGAATATAATTTTATATAATTTAAGACTGTGAGACGAAACGATCTATTTTGATGTAGGGAAGAGCAGTGATAAGCTCTTGACTTCTGCCAGGACCTACTCCTGCCAGGGGGCGGGGCCAAGATGGCGCCGAGCGCCGGGTGAGCGGCGCTTTGGCAGCGGTGAGAGGCTTTTACTGCTCCCAGTGCTTGGCTGGCGGGGGAAGGTCTGAAGTGTATCCGGGAGGAGACCCTTTGAAAGGGCCCATGTGAGAACTGGGAAGAGGACGGTTGGTTGTGTGTCCGTGCTCGTGGGGACTCTGTGCGTGTTTGCACTGGAAGGATGTTGGGGAGATGTAGTGGATTGTGAACCTCCTGTAGCGCTGCCCGGGGAAATCTTCGAATCAGTTCTCTTCTGAGGAAAATGGTGCACAGATCTAGCTCAAGTTATCCGTCCTCTGAGAAGTCTTCCTGTCGCTTCCACTGATCTGAGACGCTCCTGAGGCTGTTAGAGTGTTTTATGAACCCTTAGTGGCAGAGGGGACCGCAGGGGACCGGGACCCGACTACTTCTTGTATACCTGCCACCAGGTACAGAGTATGTGCTGAGTAATTGTATCCCTGTAGACAAGGTTTAACAAAAGTCTGAGAAGACCTGGCATGGCTTGAAAAGAACCAGTGCCCTTTGGCCTCTTTTCCCCGGCTCCCTAGCACCCAGTTCTGAACACTTTTGGGGTTGATCTTCCTATGTCCAGTGTCAGGCAAGGTCCTTTCCCTTTGACCACAGAGTAAACTCTAAGCTTGAGTCTGTGTCTTTTTCATTTTGGTAATTGTTATACCGAGTATTTATAGAACACTTACACCTTTAAGACTTAAAATTCTTTTATTTTAACAATGTCCCAGGTACCGATCTAGGTACCAAATAGATCAGTGAACATAATAGACATATTCCTGTCCACTGGTGAGGTCAGGATGATCAACAAGAAGAAATGATAGCCAGACCTGGTACTGCACAGCTGTAAAAGGCAGGAGGAGCTCAGTTTCAAGGCTAGAGTGAGTTCCAGACGAGCCTCAGCCGCTTACTGAGACTCAGTTGTAGAGGGGTTGTTTAACATGTAGAAGGCCCTAGATTTAATCTAGAGTGAGATTATGTATATGTGTATATATATATGTGTGTATATATACACATATATATGTATATATATGTGAAGAAACTATGGCAAAGAAGTAAAGCCAGGCATGGTGGTACTTGCCTGGGATCCCAGCACTTGGGAGGTGAAGGCTAAAGGACTAGGAGTTAATTTAAGATCAGTGTGGTCTACATAGTGAATTCGAGGCCAGTCTGGGCTACATGAGACCCTGTCCCTAAGGAGCCAGGGTGAGGTCATGTAGCCAAGCTCATTTCAGGAAGACAACAGCAAAAGCTATAAAACCAAGTGCATGTCTGTCAGACTGAAAGGACAAGGAGAATGGTGTGAGAATAAAGCGGCAGAAGGAAGGATAGGTGATCAGAGATAGGATGAGAGAAAGGGAACTGAAAAGGAAAAAGCCACTTTAGACAGGAACTTACTGCCTAGTCCAGGCTGGCCTCAGACTTACTGTCCCTACAGAGTGCTGGGATGACAAGTGTACACTGTGCAGGGTCTCATTGTGAAGCACGCCCTGGTATGATACTCAGGGCGGTCCATTGAGAAGTGTTAACCCCGACACCTGGACAGGGAAGGCTTTGGAAGGGTTTGCTGTCAAAGGGGAACCATTACAGCAAAGAAGTGGTAACCTAGTTAATATTTTGACAGCAGCACAATATTTTAAGGAGTAAATGCAGGGAGGCTGAGATAGAAACAGGAACACTTTGTCAGGGGCTTTTAGAGTTTAGCAGGTGACAGGTAATGGTCACCCGGGTCAAAAAGGGTCTGGTTGGGCTGCCTAGTTCATTTTGAAACAGTGCTGGGATCAAACCCAGGCCATTGTGCATGACCAGTACTCTGCCACTGAGCCGCATCCTCCAGCCCTTACCTGGTGGATGTGATTCAAGGGTCCAGACAGGAATGAGTTGTGATGGCTGTGGTGACACATGCCTATAGTCTCAGCACCTAGGAGGTATAGATAGCAGTATCAGGAGTTCAAGTTCATCATCGTCGGCTATTTATGGCATAGGAGGCCAACCTGGGCTATAAGAGGCCCTACTTAAAAAAAAAAAAAAAGTCAGGTGGTGATGGCCCATACCTTTAATTCTAGCACCCAGGATCAAAGGCAGGCAGATCTCTGAATTTGAGGCCAGCCTGGTTGGTTTACAGAGCAAATTCCAGGTGAGCCAGAGCTACACAGAGAAATCCTGCCTGGGAGGAAAAAGCATAAAGGGGGGAAAAATGAAAACAAAAATTGGTGTGGAGATGTAGCTCAGTTTTTAGGAGTATTTTTCCAGCAGACACAAAGCCCTAAGTTCCATCCCCAGCACCACAAAAACTGGGTATGGAGGTATATGTCTATAATCCCAGCATTAGGAGGGTAAAGACAGAAGGATCCAGAGTCAAGCCTATCTTTTGTTACAGAGTTTGAGACTAAGCTAGGCTACAGAAATCCTGTCCCCAAAAGTAAAACAAAAAACAAATTGTCACTAGTCACGGCAACACATGCACATAATCCCAGTGCTTGAGAAGCAGAAGCGGAGGGCGGGTGTGTTGAATGCCTTTAATCCTGGCACTTGGGAGGCAGAGGCAGGCGGATCTCTGTGAGTTCGAGGCCAGCCTGGTCTACAAAGCAAGTTCCAGGACAGCCAGGACTACACACAAAAACCCTGTCTTGAAAAACCAAAAATAAAATAAAATTTTAAAAAAAGAGAGAAGAAGGAGAAAAGAAAGGCAGAAGCAGGAAGCTGGAATTGGAAGTGTCTGGGCTACATAGTGAGCCCCTGTGTCCAAAATAAATAAAAGGACAAACCAAGTTGCTGGGTGATAGCGTTGCTTTCCAGATGAGCTGAAGTTGAGGCAGGTAGAGAGGGAGCCCAGGTTTAGGTTTGGAATTGTTTTTCTTCTTGCCCCATCCCACTACCAGTGGCTCCATCTCTCCACCCTGGGGTGGCATCCTTCCCGGGACAGGAGGTGGAATTCCAGTATGGCCGAGGAGAAGAAGCTGAAACTCAGCAATACTGTGTTGCCCTCTGAGTCCATGAAGGTGGTGGCAGAGTCCATGGGCATTGCTCAGATTCAGGAGGAGACTTGCCAACTGCTGACAGATGAGGTCAGCTACCGCATCAAGGAGATTGCCCAGGTAACCCTTCTGCCCAGCCTTGCTTTGTGTTAAAGATTCAGCTTACTCCCAGGCGATGGTGGCTTACGCCTTTAATCCCAGCACTTGGGAGGCAGAGGCAGGCGGATCTCTGTGAGTTCGAGGCCAGCCTAGGCTACAGAGTAAGTTCCAGGAAAGGCACAAAGCTACACAGAGAAACCCTGTCTCGAAAAACCAAAAAAAAAAGATTCATCTTACTATGTAACTGAGGATAACCCTGAACTTCTGATCCTCCTGCCTCCACCTCCCTCTGCTAGGATTTCAGCATGTCCTACCATGCTGTTTTTGTGATGCTGGGCATTGTACTCGGGTCCCTGTGCATGCTGGGCAAGTGCTTTTCCCCCTGAGCTATATTCCTCAGGGTCTTAGATTAACACCTCTTCTCCTCCCAATTCCTAGGATGCTTTGAAGTTCATGCACATGGGGAAGCGGCAGAAGCTCACTACCAGTGACATTGACTATGCATTGAAGTTAAAGAATGTGGAGGTGATTTGGAGGGACTCGGAGGGGACAGGAGGCTTCGGAGTGGGGAGACAAAGCACATGTAGCCATGCCTCCCTTGCCCGCCTCTCATGTTTTTCTCTGTCTCTCCTGATACAGCCACTGTATGGCTTCCATGCTCAGGAATTCATCCCTTTCCGTTTTGCCTCTGGTGGGGGCCGGGAGCTTTACTTCTATGAGGAGAAGGAAGTGGACCTGAGCGATATCATCAACACCCCTCTGCCTCGGGTGCCTCTGGATGTCTGCCTCAAAGGTGGAGGGAGGGTAGAGCTGGGTGTGCGGGGAGGAGGGAAAGGAGGAGGCATGTGACTGGGGGGAACCTCACACGTGAAGAAACAAACATCTAATGTGAGACCCCTGGTGAATGGCAAGAAGGGGACCGGGAAGGAACACACACCTTCCTTCGTATGGGGTGACACCCCAGTGTCCCTGCCCAGTAACTCAGCTTGACATCTTCCTTACAGCACATTGGCTGAGCATTGAAGGCTGCCAGCCAGCTATACCAGAGAATCCACCCCCAGGTAACATTTTCCATGGCCAGAGCCAAGCCTCCTTATTCTCCTCCCTCATCCCTGGTCCTGTGGGGCTCCTCCACCTTCTCACCAATCCTCCTGTGACCACTTTCCCACCAGCACCCAAAGAGCAGCAGAAGGCTGAGGCCACAGAACCCCTGAAGTCAGCAAAGCCAGGCCAAGAAGAAGATGGACCGCTGAAAGGCAAAGGTCAAGGGGCAGCTGCAGCTGATGGCAAAGGTCAGGATCCAGGCCAGGCCTCTCCCTGCTCTTATCCCAAAGCCAGATGGTCCTCAGTGAAGTAGATAAAGTCAGAGACAAAGGAACCCCAGAAAGGCCTAGAAGGCTAGAGAAGGACTACATGTTGCGGTGAGGGTTTGCCCTGTACAGAAGCCTCTTCTGGAGCTTGCTTTTTTAGTACATGTGTACACACGTGTAGGTGCGTTTGTGTGTCAGGCACAGGTGTGTGTGTGTGTGTGTGTGTGTGTGTGTGTGTGTGTGTGTGTGTGTGTGTGTCCAGAGGA